TTACAAATAGAGGGTGATAACGTCAGAGAGAGAGAGAGAGAGAGAGAGTAAATTTTTGTGTGTCAAGCTGGGTGAGGCACAATAAGAGTCTCATCTGAATTTACAGGAACATAACTCCTCTCAGGACTACCCTATACAGTAAATGTAATAAGTACATTGAGCAAATAAAATTGCAGCTCTACCTGTCTGGCCTATAGCTAGGATTTTCTGAATGATACGTCAGAATTAGTCCAGAGACATTCTGTTCCAGCATTATAGCATTGGTTTTGCAATGTCCAGAACTGTCATTGAGAAGAATTGCTGTGGTTTCCCTTTCTTGTTAACTATGAAGAACAACATGTCAGTGTTGTGGCATAAAGCTTTTCCTATGAAAGCTCTCTTTTGTTGCCATTAGCCAGTTAGTTAGAATCTTGGGCTGTGATGAAATGTAATACATGTATTTATTATTTAGTATGATTATGTCTCTTGTTCCATTGTGGATGTGAAGGTGGGGTACAGGGTGGTTTCTATTCAGGCACTGGTTAGATCCGGATGTGCTGAACTTCAGTCAGGTGTTGCCTCATGGACCTTCTGTCCAGGCCCTGATAAGAGGTTTTGAGTGGGTGGACACCTGAAACTGATTATACCAGAATGAGAGCATTCTTAGTCTGCATACTCTTTTTTACCTGAAAGTCCAGTGTAGCTAGTTTCCCACTCATCATCTTTTAGTGCCATTGTTGAGTTGCATGCTGTGAATCGAGTTTTAGCTTGGTGAATCAAAGGATGCAGGGATTCTTTAGCCATAACAGGCTAAGTGACTTCTCTGTCACCTTAGTTTATTAGATAGAACAAGGCAGTTGCAAGAAATGGGCTCTAGTTAAGACCAAGGTACAAATGGCATGCAAATATATGCGTAACAGTTCTTATAGTTGTTTTTCCTGAAGCATATTGGAAAGAAATCCCATTTAAAGCAGCAAATTGGAGATATGACAGGTGAGATAAGTCTTCTAACCCAGTTCCTGCCAATGGCTTCTCCCTCACCACCACCAATCCTGTGATCAGGGAAAGAGTTAGCATACCCTCATTAGGGTGTTATGTGCAATTTGTTCTTTTTTTGTTTTTTAAACAGAAATGGGTACTAGTCTCCAGAAAACAAGCTACTCAAGGGTGTTTGTTTCTGATCTGCCTAATTAAATTATCTGAGGGGTTGGCTTTGCCTGTAATAGTTGCTAATATTATCTGTTTAGATGTGGACTTCCAAGCAATAACAAAGATATGTGGAAGAGAAAGCACAACTATGAAATGAGTTAGGGAAATGATGCCCAACATTTGTTGGAGAGCATCTTCTGTTTTCCTTTTCTCAGAAGGCTCCTTTTTCTTTTTCATGATAATTCAGTTTCTATGGTAATGTGGCAGGTGATGTACCAGTTGCTACTGAGAACCTGCCTGGTTTAGCTTCCCTGTAGTATAGTTTTCACTGCTGTTCTAAGTCAAAGCGGTGTTGTTGGCAGCTGGATATCTGGAACTAATTTGCTCTTTATAGCATCTGCAGGTTTTATAGTTTGTTTTACATTCTTTAGGTTATTGTTGTGAACCTTTAAACATTAATTGCCAGTTTTTATTATTGGCATGTTTGAGCATTTAAAGCACTGTGAATTAAACCACTTTTAAATTATAGAAGATTTAGCACTCATTTATTAATGTGCTATAGTAGTTGAAATACAACCAGGGCAGTAGTTTATTTATGACTATGTCATTCACATGTAACCTAGGATATAAACAATTTTGGCAATAGTCCTCTTCGAAATGAGGTATCTTATATGAAACAGCTATTTGTTAGTTCTGTCAGCTTCCATCTTTGATTCAGGTCCCAGCTAGATTACTTTTAAAAAATCCATGTTATCAAGAAGTAAGGAAAATTTATTCCCATCCCCATTCCCCAATTCCTATATGTTTGGATTTGTTATTTTTCATCAGTTATTTGGGCATTATAGCTCAAGAGGCTGCCTTGTAGTTTCCGCTGGGGGAAAAGCTTTCTGTTAATCCATGAGGACCTTCCTGTTGTTGTTGTTTAGTTGTTAAGTTGTGTCCGACTCTTTGTGACCCCATGGACCAGAGCACGCCAGGCCCTCCTGTCTTCCACTGCCTCCTAGAGTTTGGTCAAATTCATGTTGGTCGCTTCAATGACACTGTCCAACC